ACAGGCCTTTGGCAGGATGCCCAGCATTCATGCTCTCTGTCCTAATATTCCCTGAAATATGGAAGAGGTAGCCAATACTCAAGGAGACTTCCTTACAAGAATAGCTATTGGATCGCTCCATTCACCATATTAAGTCTCCCTGGGTGGAGATAGATTAGCAGAAAGCTGGGGGCCTCTGCCTTTACTAAGGAAATGTCCAGAAGTGAGCAAATTTACTCATTGGAAAAATATGCACATTGAAGATTTTAGATATTAAGTACTTAGTTATCTTTCAGAAAAGGTGAAACCATTTCCACTTCACTGTATGTGCCTATTGTGTGCATGTGTGTGTGTATGTGTGTGTGTGCATGTGCAACCAGGTATATGTGTGTGCACATGTGTGTGTGCATGCATGTATCCTATTGTTTCTATTTCCCTGTGACTAGATCAACTAGTCAACAATTTCCCACCACATTGTGGCATGCAAGCCTGCACTTCATCAGCCACATGAGCCTTTGGAAGGATGCCCAGTATCCATGCTCTCTGTCCTAATATTCCCTGAAATATGGATGAGGGAGGCAATACTCAAGGAGACTTCTTTGCAAGAATAGTTATTGGATCTCTCCATTCACCATATTAAGTTTAAAGCCTCCCCAGGTGGAGATAAATTAGCAGAAAGCTGGGGACCTCTGCCTTAGCTGTGGCCCACCACCCCCTCTGTCTCCTTCCACCTCCTCAGCCTGCTTTTACACAGAGCATTATTATGATATGAAACCCAGTTGTGTGCCCTCAATAAGACTGTGATGGGAATGTTGTTCATTACATCATACAGTGTTTTCTTTATGAGGACTCCTGGGAGTCATTCCTGTCTGGCCTCTGTGTGAACAACAGTTAGAGTTTTCCTGAGCAATTGGGTTGTGTTTATCTCACAAACATTGTAAACTGTATATCTGACAAGATTTCTTTATTCTACTGGCAACTGTGGAGCTGGGGGACCCCCCACTTGTGACCTACCAGCCAGCAGCAAGAGTGTGGAAATGCAGACGTATGTAGCGTAAGAATGAGCTCTCAAATGCTCTTCCTAGCGTGTGCCGCCTCACTTTTAATTTATGCTATCTTGTCATGATTCATATCCCATCGTAAGTCATCTGAAAAACTGTTCTATAAAATAAGATTTGGTTCACGCTGAAAAGGAGAGAAACAAGTAAGATGCGGGAAAGCTCCACAATGCATATTTCTATTTTCTTCAAAGTTGCCACTGCATTCTGTGCTAACACCTTCCTGTTCATAGGCCTAAGGCCTAGAGCATGCAACTCCGAAGTGTGGCAACAGTGAACATACAATGGCTGGAAGAGCCAGCGAAAGTTGCTTAAAATAATGTGATTGTCCTGCCTAGTTCTCAGGAGCCGGCTGAGTCAAGGCCACTGAAATGACAAAGTTTCTTGGGAGTAAGATGCGTTTTCACGCTAATTATAATGAAAAGAGCTGACAGCACTAGTAGATATGGAGTGACAGTGAAGGAGGAGCAAAGGCAGCAGGGAAGAACTGCTAGTCCCCACACGGGCTTTGTCTGCCCAGTGAGTTTCCAATGGTAAGAAAAAGGCTCAAATTTAAGGAGAGAAGAAACACCCTGACCTTCCATCAAGAGGGAACAGGAGGAGAGATAACTAACAGTAAAGGCCATTTGAAAAAGTCATATGGAAACCTACTTGCACAGAAGCTTTTCAAAACACATACATATACAACATAAAAAGATTTTAAATGGAGTTACTCTATAATGAAGGTTCAATGGCCCTACCAGATACCACAGGCTAGCAAATAAAAGGCTCATGCCAGGAATAGTCTTATTTTGGAGCTGGTGACCAGGGGGTTCCCAAAGACCCCCACCCAACACTGGCTATTGCCATTGCGCTCGGTTACCTACCAGAGCTTGACAGTAAGACCCTACTGATCAAGACACTACCTACATGAGTCATATAACAAACAAGGAGAAATCAAGTTGCTATCAACCACAAAGCTTCATCTCTACTGCCTGTCTTCTATGGTGCTGAAAAGTGCTATCCATGCTACCAGGAGAATAAAGCAATCGTCAGCCTTACCCAGGTATGAACCTTGCAAGCTACAACAACAAGTGGTCTGGCAAGTTATCTCATTGGTGCAACAATGGAACGAATGTTATGGAATTAACCAGCCACTTTCTGATTTGATTTAAGGCTGCTTCACAAGGTGGAGGCCCAGATCTGCCAGGTCTAGGAACCTGTGACTAGGCAGGTCACATGTCATAAGGGAGAGGCTACTACTATTACTCTGTTAAACGGACATAGTATTAAACCAACTCTTAATGAGTTGTTGTTATACACATAGATTAGTGCGTCTCTCAGCCCTCACTAGAGAAGTTTCTTCTTGAAGCAGATGGTGATTAACACAGAGACCCACAATGGGTCAACAATTAGTGCTTAGGCCTGAATGGGACACCTATATCATATTCTTTCCTCCCAAGGCTCAGGGATCACCATGGAAGAAGGGTCAGAAAGACTGTAAGGGACAGAGGTGGTAGACTACAAGAAAACAGTGTTTTCCAAAGAACAGGGGAGTTACTCAGTTGTGACAGCACGCACAAGACCTATACAAGCTCAAGCCAGACCAAACACCAACACGGAGAGGGGAGGTGGGCGAGAAGCTCCAACGTTAGCTGCTGAACTGTTGGTAACTGATAGCTGTTGGGAGAGGGAGAGATAGTTTCCTTTAAGGGAATGATGCTGGGTAGATTTACCAGGCTCCAGGAGGTGAACATACACAGAAGAACATTTGGGGACACAAACTGATTTGACAGGCCTTAAAAAATAATAATATAAAAAAATAAAAATAAAAAATAATAATAGAGGACATGAAATCTGGCAGAAGGTAGTAAAGTGAGGATGGAGATGGGGGGAGGGTCTAAATATGACCAAAATATATTGTATGAAATCTATAAAAAATTGTAAAGAAATCAATAAAAAACATTTTTAAAGTTTATAGAGAAATCTGGGAAAATGAGCAGAAGAAAATACATTCAACATTCTCAGTCATCGGGGAAATAAACTACGAAGTCCTGCTGAGGTACCATTGCACACCTATTCGAATCTAAAATTCTGACCACAGCTGGGGCTGGTGAGGATGTTGAGAAACAACCTGCATAGATTGCTAGTGGTTCAACCGTTCCTAGTCTTTAAAATGATGATCACATGTTTACAGATGTTCACCCAAGACAAACAAAAGAACACACACATAACAGATTTGCACACGAGTGTTCCCAACAGGTTCTTCTCAACAGATAGAAACTGGACATATCCCAAATGGGGGGAAATCTACAGTTGAGTATATAAACAATCAGAAAATATGGATTACTATTACTTGTAATCCATTGTTAGAGTGGGCTAGTCCTCAGAGTATGCTAACTAATTGAATATTGATGCTCACAATGATATAAATGGACAAAAGGATAACTGAGTGAAAGAGCAGTGTGTGCTGTTTGATTCCATTTTTAATGTGTATGTATGTATGTGTGTGTACCTGTTGATGTGTGTTAATGTGTGTTTGGGTACAGGCATGCATGTATACCACATGCATGTAAGAGTCAGAGGACAGCCTCAGGTACAGGTCCTCACTTTCTGCCTTGTTTGAGGCAGTGTCTCTTGTGATCGCCACTACATGAGCTTCTAGTCATCCTCCTACCCTACGTCCCATCTCAGCACAGGCACACTGGGGTTACAGATACGATGCTACTATATTGAGCTTTGCATGGATTCTGAACTCCTGTCCTCACAGTTGCACAGAAAGCACTTTATCCACTGAGCAATCTTCCCAGCAATCTATTTATATAAAATTCTAGAATATGCAAACTAACACAGAGTGTCAGAAAGAAGCCCTGTTGTTATCTATTACACACCGGAGTAGGGAGAGATTAAAACTTGGACAAGGACATTTTGAAAGGTGTGTCAAGGCTCACTAACTTGACTGTGGGAATATTCACATATGAATAGACGTCAAACTTTGAATTATATGCTTTAAACACTCCATCTCAATCATCTTCAAGCTATTTGGAAATAATTGTTTCCTTTGAATGGAAGTCAGCCAGGTGTGTGGTGGCTCACACCTGTAATCCCAGTACTTGGGAGGCTCAGGTAGGAGGATCACAAGTTTGGGCCAGCCTGGACTACACAGGAATACATTATCAGAAAAAAGAAAATGTAAATGTGGTGGGAAGAGAGAGAGAGAGAGAGAGAGAGAGAGAGAGAGAGAGAAAAAGAGGAGAGAGAGAAAAAGGAGAGAAACAGACAGAGAAAGGGATTACCTAGCCACGTGTGGCTTATAGACACTGTGTGGAGCAGCTTAGCTCTATCTTCTGTGCTGCCTTAGAACTTGGTACTTGCATTTGCAGTGGCAGGATCAGGCTACCACTATCACAAGTATTACTGTTCCATGTCCCATCTGCAACCCTCCTCCCTTTCTCAAAGAAATGCAGTCTCATGTTGCTGGGGAAGTAGAAGCAATGAGGAAAAATGAAAGGAAAACAGATTCAAGCTTCACTTTCCTAACAGACTTGATTCACTGATGGACTCATCAAACCATCATTTTCTTAGCAACATTTTCTAAGAAAACAGTGATGGGTTTCAACCAGATATCCAAGAACCTTTTAGAGAAGATTTGATGATGTCACAAATCCAGAACTTAAAATAGTCTGTTGGTCTTAGTCTTAGTACTTTGTGTTTTAAAGACAAAGTTTGTTAATCCATACCTGAGGAGTCATATTCACAAATTCTATATCTTGAACTTTTAGATTTGGCCTGTTTCTTCATCTATAAAATGTCAACCTAACAGAACTACAGTTAAGATTTTATAAGATCATGAGTGCAGAGCATCTTCCAATGAGCAGAGGTACTTTAAAATGTCTCCTCCTCTCACCCACAAACTCTTCCTCACAGCACACATCCCTTGCAAAGGGATGGGTCAGTGTAAATAAGGGTTTCTCCCTTTCTTACCTGGAGCCAAAGTTTGTCATGCTGAGACCACTTCCCGCCGGCAATGCACTGAAATGTGGCATTCTGCCCAACATTAACCTCGACATTTTGGAGTCGCAGGAAATGAGGCGCTTTTCCTAAGAAAGAAAACAAAGAACACATGAGGAAAATATTCAACAGCCTCCACCACTTCTCCATCATGGAAGGCAGGGCAGAATGGGCACAGGGCTAGTGCAGTGTGTATGGAGAAGATGCCAGCCACAGTAAGAAGCTGATGGATCATTAGAATCAAGCCTGTTCTGTGAACTTCACACAAAGCATCTCATTTAAGCTACACAAAATCTATCAAGAGGATGACAGTTCCAGATCACAGATTAGAAATCTAAGACTCTGAGCACTGCACAGTTTGACACAATCAGACATCCAGAAAACAGGGAAGCCAAGACATGAATCCAGGCCTCTGAGACCCTCAAAGTCCGTATGACTAGCTGCTATATGACATTTTTCTGTTAAATAAGCCCAAACATATTTAGAATGGATCCAAATTGACTGTTTCCCCAGTAGGTGACAGAACATGGAACCAAAAGCTTCTCCCTTCACCTTGCTGATGATGGTAAGGACAAAGAATGGAGAATGGGGAAAAGAACAGGAAAATCAAAGGCTGTCATTCACTGAGTATTTCTCTGTGATAGATACCATACATTCAGCATCTAAATTTTATTTAGCCTGGTGCAACTGGTGGAGGTGCCATCTCTATGATTCATGAAGGAATGGAGGGACAAAGAATTACAGGAAGCTGACCTTGTTCACAAAGGCACATAGTATACACTCTCAACTTTAACCTATGGCCCCTCCTATGTATGAGTGGGAAGTAGAACATTCATTCTGGGCACTGGACATGACACAGGAAAAGGCCAGCAGCTGAAAATCAGCATGTGGGGAAATCAGTCCTAGGACTAAGCCTGTGTTTCGTATCAATTATCTTGGGCTCATCTCTTTCCTTATTTGTTGAGTCAGGTGTTCTTCCATACAGCCTCTCCATATAAGAGCAATATTAGGGGCTAGATAGATGGCTCAGCAGTTAAGAGCACTGGGCTACTCTTGCAGAGGACTTGGGTTCAGTTTCCAGCACCCACATGGCAGTTAACAACTGTCCACAACTTCAGATCCAGGGAATCCAATGCCCTCTTCTGATGTCCACAGGCATTGCACAACACAGGTGTACTTACATACATGCAGGCAATACACTCATACATACAAAATAAAAATAGTAAATAGAATATCAAAAACAGCAATATTAGGTTTCCATTAGCCAATAACCAATGAATGATAAGAAGAATGAGCTTCTTCACTTAGTGCAATGAAGGGTCACTACCACCATCCACATAATCAGTAACGAGCTGGCACAGACCCCCTAACTCAAATGGGGCAAAATGGAGAGTTCTGAGAAAATCAAGGGAATCGAGAACAATAATGTCCTATATGGAAAACTCCACCAGTGCTAAGCACTATGCCAAGTGCTTTACATGGTTTTCTACTCTAACTTCATGGTATCCCTGTGGAGCAGATGCTAAGGGGGTAGAAACCAGCATTCAGCAAACCCAAGGTTGGGTTGCCCTGTGGGCACACTTGTGGGGGGCTGTCTTCATTAAGTTAACAGATGTGGGAAGAACTAGCCCAAAGTGGCCCATGCCATGCCCTAGTGCAGGGGCCCTAAACTATGTAAAATGGAGAAACTGAGCTGAGCACAAGCAGGTAAGCAGGCAAGCAAGCACACGTGCATTGATTTCTCTCTTCTCTTGGCTGTGAATGTGACTAGCTGCTTTAACCTCCTGCCCTGCTAGGACAGGCTAGAACTTCGACTTATAAGCCAGATAATCTCCTTTATCTTTATGTTGCTTTTGTTCAGCGTACTTCATCATAGCAACAGAAATGAAACTGAAATAGTTGCCAAAGTTGTAAGGCATCAGGGAGAGACAGAAACAGAATTCAGTCCAGTTCCATTTGAGCCCCAAACTCAACTTTAACCTAGCTGCTCTCTTGCCTCCTAGGCCTGGAGAGAAAACGTGGTGTCACCAGACAGGCCTTAGGGTACAGAGAAATGATTCCCAGGCTGGACCATGCCGACCCTCCTGGCTTCTATTTCCTCCCAAATATTTTGCAAATGACCCCTTTCCTTATTATTTCGCCTTGTGGGTTTCACATTTTGAACTAACTTGTCTACCAAACTGTGTCACCACCTGTAAAGCCAAGAACCTTGGTGTGATCAAGGACACTTGCTGTGAGAAAATATACACCTTCTGCTCAGGTTTTTAAACTAATGACAACAGCTCAGAGACCCCCACATGCTACTGTCAGGGTCCCGCAGCTAAAGTGGCCTCAAGGGTCCTAGGTCCAGACAAGACCACTTCTGCTAGATGTCTATGAGTTTAAGATTCCTGCATCTAGCCAACTTGACAAACATCATGCTGGTCTGATTGCTTGAAATTGTTTTCTTTTGGTTCTCCTGTATAATTTTCTGAAGTTATTTTTGGAACTATCAGTTCAAGTCAATTCTTCAACCGGCAATGGAATGAACCTGTAAGTCTGTTTATGCCTCAGGTTTTAAAGGGGAAAGAAACACTTGCTCTCACATAGAGAGGAACTGTAGTGTCTTGGTTCCAAAGTGGAGAAGATCCATTGAATTTTACCAAGGTTTGCTCTCCTCTTACCCTTCTGAACATGGGGCAAGTGGTTACATTCTAGAAATGTGCAATTAGAGGTGGTTCTTCTCTTGGTCAGAGGCATCTGCCTCCTTCTGACTCCTCCCCTCTTCTGCCTTCTCAACAATAGATCTACTGTGTTGATTCTGTCATCTTTGTTCTGTCCCCTCCCTCCATTCTAAACTCAGAGTGTAGATGTCTAATGGCCATGGATGTTAATATTCCGGGGAAATATTGATGATTTACAACACAGATGTCAAACTCATGCCCCTACACGAAGCAGACAGCTATGTAAATTAATAAAGTGGCTCAGTTGTAAATCAAAGCTAACAAACATACCACCTCCTTGCTCCATCTTTCATTTCCCATTTTGGAAGAGATTCCAGTCAAATAAATTATTTCTCTGTGTAAGGAAGATGTTGCAGACACAGCTATAACTGGGGTTTGATTCCTGTTTCAACATTAGCAATAAGAAGTGTTGGGGATGTGGGGGAATAGACTTAAAGGGGACATATTGTTGTTTGAGGCCAGTGGGGATGGGGCAAGAGTGCTTTGCTCAGAGCTGTCAAATCATCTGATTTCTCTGGGGACATAAAAAGTTCTCATTTTATATGAAGTTTCTCATTTTGAAATCTTAACAAAAATTTTATGAAAATGGTACAATCAACAAAACCCATCAATAGGTGAGTTCTATCAGTCTGTGATCTCTGATAAGTTGTTCTTATGTTCAGTTTCCTGAAACAATTCCCACTGGCCAGTCTTGCCCTATCTGGACCCATAAATCCAGTGATTTGTGGGTGACCTTGTCTCTGCCCTCTGAGGCCCTGGCTCCCCCTGACTCATGACGGATATCTTCTTGTGGGGACCTCCTTACATTTAGTCTTCTTCTCTGGGCTCCTGGACTCTCTGACCTTCCATTCCCAACTCCAATATCCCCTTCTTCCCACCTTTACTCTTCACCCCCACCCCCATTCCCTGCCACCTGTGCTGTTCTGGGCATGAATGAAATTATTTTACCAACTTCAATTTACCAACCTTTAGCCAAATACAGCTGACCTGGGCCCCCAGACCAGCTAGCAGTCGGGTTTTAAACATCTCCTCTTGCTCCCCACTGAGATTCCACTCCCTAAAATGGGATCCCACTGAACAGGGTTAAGGGGAAAGGTGTGTGCATTTGGGGCAAAATGCCTTGATGCTGGTGACATTTAAACTCCTGCAGATGTCAGTGCAGTATCTGAAGACATATTATTGTGCCCTTTATCTCACTCTTTAAACCTGACAGTGCTCAGCAGGAAGCCACACAATTGAGCAGAAAGCTCACTACATACATTAGAAACATGTTGCAGATGCTCTGCGGGCTCAGGGACATGGCCTCGTAAGGTTGTGATAGAGGGAAAAAAAAAGAACAGGTTTAAAAAATTCTAAAAGTCAACTTGGGAGTTAGAAACTTTGAAGCCAAGTGAAAAAGTATGCTGACATTTATTGTACACAGTTGTAACAGCAGCAGCCCTGTTAACAGCTAACACCGAGACCCAGCAACGGATGGTAGCGATGGTCAAAACACTTTTAGAATAACAACAATAACAAAAAAAAATGTTAAATGGGCTATAAAATATAGGTGGGAAGTTTCCACTTGTAAGAGAAACTAATTTCTTTTGAGGATTATGGCTGACTTTGGGTGACTTTTAAAAGCTTTGAGGCAAGCATTTAAAGTCAGCTTCAATGAATGGAGTATAAGATTGCAAATCAGGAATGATTCCTCTTCCTCCAATTTTTGGAATAATTAACGGAATCACTTATTGATAAACTCTGGGTATATGTTAATAAAAACATCTTGAAGGACAAGTGGAGAATTAGAAAATTTTAAAGTCGTAGAGGGAATGCATATTTTTTCATAATTAAAATCTTAATCTGTGAGTGAAATTAATTCGGAGGCTGGAGAAACTACTTGTGGGGTAAAGGACAGTTCAGAAACTCCTAGAAGACTGCATGACCTCCAATCCCATGGGCAGACTCCGGGCCCCTAGTCACCACCTCAGCAGCAGCAGGAACTTATCTCTTGTTTTCTATCCTTCCTATAGGGTTTCACTCATGTCTCTGCCCTCTGAAGCCCTGAATCTCTCTGAATGGCTCAGTTTCTCCCCAGACTTGTGCCTCCTTGCTTAACTAGAAATCTGAGAACAATCATTTTGGGGCTATTTATCTCTCAATCTGACCCAACAAATAAGAGCAGTTATTTCCAGTGCCACCACTTTTCTGTGGTCTATGTTTCTTCATAACACCACTATCCCCCTAAAATTCTTATGTAGAATCCTGCAATGTGTGATTATTTTGGGAAATAGGGCCTTGAAAGAAGCGATTAAGATAAAATGAGGCTATTGGGTAGACTCTGAGCTAATCTGACTAGCTTCCTTACAGGAAGAGGAAATGTGGAC